TCTGCCTCACTTAAATCCAACTCATAAAGTCAAGATATCACCCATCACATCTTGATGTCATTGGTCCTTTTCAAAAATGAAAGATGAACAACAATGTTATCCTACAGAGCTCTGCTTTGCAATTGAGTAAGGGGCTTCCCTAGGAGGAGAATGAGAGGAGAGAGGGAATGCAAGAGTAACATTTGAATTTGCCCCTCAAGTACAAAAAAATCTAATTTACCATGTTTGTCATTCTAAATTTACCTGGGGCTTTTTTTTTTAGATTTCTAAAAGCATCACCCTTTGCTGTGTTCCAAAATCTATTCATTTATTCCCTCAACATTTATTAGGCATCTCTTGTGTTTAGAACACTGCATTAGATATAGGGGGACTGTATAGCATTTAGATGAGGCATGGCCCCTGCCCTCATGGAGTTTATGAATAATTAAAAGAATAAGATAAGGGGCAGCTAGGTGGTACAGTGGATAGAGCTTCAGCCTTAGAGTCAGGAGGACCTGAGTTCAAATCTGGCCTTAGACACTTGACACTCACTAGCTGTGTGACCCTGAGCAAGTCACTTAACCCCGATTGCCTCACCAAAAAAAAAAAAAAAAGAATAAGGTAAGCACAAATAACTAATATATAATAAGTGCCTTAGAGAGGTACTGAACAAAGAGCTAGCTGAGATCCAAAGGAGCAGGTTAGTATGGATAGGACATAAAAGATGACTGTCTAAGAGGTAGCATTTGGGTTGAGCTTTAAAGGATAAGCAGGAAATTAAGAGGCAAAGAGGGAGGGAAGATGTTCATAATACAAAGATAAGGGGGGAAAGGAAGTAAAGAGCAGATTTGGTGGCATGGAATGGTCCAATTTGGCAAGTACAGAGAAGTGATGAAGAATGACAGAATGTAAGTCTGGAAAGATACCACCGATTATAGAGGGCCTTCAATACCAGGAACAAGGCCTCAGACTCTTTTGCTTAGGCAGTGAAACGGCTAGTTGGTGGAGGGGGTTGGTAGTGGTGGGTTTTTTGTTGTTGCTACTGTTGCTGTTTCGTGTGTTTGTGGGTGTGTGGGTATGTATTTTTGGTTGGGTTTGGGGTTAGTAGTCTGTCTATCTCCTTATCTTGCCCAGGTTTTGGGTTGGTAGTCTCTCTCTGTCTCCCAGTCTTGCCCAGGCTAGAAATGCAGCTGCCACTTACGGACCCAGTCTTACTGTTAATCAATATGAAAGTTTTGACCTGTTCTGTTTGTCCCTTCTTAGGCATCCTGGTAGCCCCTTGCTACCTAGGGCTTACCATATTGGTGCCTGACTTAGTGTGGACACCTAGTCAACTTTAGCCCTCCAGCATCTCAAAACTGGAGCTCAAATGATCCACCAGCCTGAGCTTACCTGGTAGCAGGGATTATAGGTGTGCCCTGTAATTACAGGTACCCTCACAACTGGTTCCACTGAAGATTTTTGAGCAGAAGAATAAAATAACTGATACATTAGAAAAAAATAAGTCTAATTATGAAATTAAGGATGGATAGGAGGGAAAAGAAAATGGAGGCAGGAATAATTTTTATGAGCCTATAATAATGGTTGAATTAGGTGGTCACAAGGGCTTATTATGAAGGTATTCATAGTGGGAATAGAAAGGAGGGGACATTTATGGAAATAGAAGCAAAAGGTTTTGGTGAATACTTAGATATGTGTCATGAGGAAGAGTCAGAAATATCACTAGGGTTTCAAACATGGGAAGCTGTCAGTGGTAGTGCCAATAATAGAAATGGTTAAGTCAGAATAATGGCAAATGTTAATACAGTACATTAAGGTTTGCAACGTGCTTTATATAAATTATTTGGATTTATTTGTCGTATAAATTTACAGGCAGCAAGTTTACAGGAGGAAATAATTGAATCATAGAACTGGAAGGGACCTCAGAAGCCATTTAGTCTAGTGTCAGTTGAAGGTGACAATGGAACATCCAGATGTAGATACCTTGTAATTAGTTGGAAATCCAGTTATAGAGAAGCCAAGACTAGGAATGAAGATATAAAAGGGGATAATTGAAACCTAGGGAATAAATGAGATTGCTAAGGGAGAAGAGTTGAAGTTCAGGGACAGATCATTCATCTTAAGAGGTTACGGATGAGGCTGAGGATCTGTTAGCAAAGTAGAAAGAGGATCTGAAGAGTGTAGTGAAGACTGAAATCAAAGGAGGAGAGAGGATCTAGTAGGAGGAAATGGCCAATAGTGTCAAATGCTATTCAGAGTTCAATAAAAAATGGAGACTTTAAGAACATTGTTGTAGTTGATAATTAAAATTGTTGGAGGATCACATAGATAGATAGATAGATAGATAGATAGATAGGTAGATAGATAGAGGGATAGATAAATTTAGATAGGATCATATATATATGTATATGTGTGTGTGTATATACATATATATATATATATATATATATATATATATATATATATATGAAACTGATTTGAAACTGCAAAGTACTATTTAAATAGGTCACATAAGCATGTATCATTCAGCACTTGTAATCAGGAGAACAGACTCTTTTACTAAGCTAAGATTACATTAAATGATGAACCAGATCACCAGCTTATAAAGTTGATTGTGATGATGAAGAACTGCTTCTTGTATTGGGGGAAATGTCCAAAAGAACAAGTTGCTGTTAGAAACTTTAGACTGTGAGCTCCTCAAGAACCAGACCTGTCTTTTGCCTTCTTTGTTTTCCCAGAACTTAGCATAGTTCCTGGTACATCATAGGCACTTATTAAATGCTTGTTGAGTGATTATTAAAACTATATAAAGTAGACAAAATAAATAAACATAAACTAAATATGTTCAATCATTCATAAGTCTGTATTCCTCCACTGAAATTTTATTTCGCTGAATCATCATGGCATGGAGGTAAACATCCTACCCGTTGGCTCCAGAAGTCCAAGACAATGGAGTGCAAGTGCTACAAAACTGGAAAGACTTTGGGTGCAGGCCTGACAATGGGCTTAGTATAGGGTGTAAGTATAGAGAGACTCGGTACCAGAAGGCAAGCTATGAGATGATTAATTTTTCAGTAACAGCAACTCTTAAAGAGCATCCACTAGGGCATGTAAGGGGTTGTGATCTGCATCAAGGGAGGGAATACCTATGCCAGCAAGATCATCTGTCTTTTGAGGTGCTGAGGAAGTCAGCCTTAGCATTACCAGTTGTAACAAAAAAGCACTCCTGTAGGCTACGAAGGAGCCAATCAGAAGCTCACCAATTTTTTGTGCTAAGCAAGATAATGAACCAAGTACCAATCCCTTCTTTCATCAGGCCAGTGTTGAAACTTGGAAAAAAATGTTTCTCATTTATCACACACACTCCAAGACGGCTTGATAAATAGACTGTTTCACAGGGCTTGGATTGCGCTAGAACACAAAACTGCAGTGTTTTTCAGCAAATGCTGAATACCATTGGGCGAATAACTCCAGCAATCAGGAACTTCATGCCAAAGTGCCTTCTTAAGGCACTGAAGTGGGGGGTCGGGGTGGGGGGCTGAAGAAATTCTTGCTGACTTGGAGAAAAGTGGGTATTTCTAGGAATTGTCTGGAGATTTGGGTCAGTGCTAAATTGTGTTCAGGGTACACTGGAGGTTCTTAATAGCAAGGAAATTTGGGCTACAACCCTAGCCTTTGAAGACAGCACAATGGAGGGAAATCTTGCTTTCCCATAAAGTCTCTTTGAATGACGTTGTGATCGATAGAATTATAGGCTGGGTAGATAGTTTTACTGAAGCCATGTAGCATGTTATTAGATCCAACAAAAATGTTACAAAATGATAAATAACAAAGATAATTGGTATTAATGTTTGCAGAGGACTTTACCTATAGTAATATATACTTCACATATAGAGGTATTGTGGATAAAGCATTGGACTTAGAGTCAAGAAGATGGGGGATCAAATCCAATCTCAGATTAATTGTTGGCTCTAGGCAAAACACTTTACCTCTCCATGTCACAGTTTCCTAATCTGTAAAATGGGAGGGAGTAGATGCAATGGTCTCTAAGGTCCCTTCAAGCTCTAAATCTATAATCCTCTGATTATGTCAACTAAGCCTCCATATTGACTGTGCAGCTGCCTCTCCTTCCTGAAATGCTGTGGACTAGGGATAAACTGGAGATAGTCTGTGAATGCCCTTGACCATCCCCTTCCAGGCTAGGGTTTGAACTAAGTGACTTTTTACATCTCTAGAATGTAGTCTTTTCTGTATTTCTGCCAACCAAAATCATTCAAGACCTGTTCACTTCCTCCTTCCAAGGAAGAAAACCTCCCCAAATTTTCTCAGATGTAAATGATTTCTCTCCCTCCTCCTCTCCTTCCCTCTTTTCTCTCCCTCTCCTTCATCTGCCCCCCCCCAATTTTTAATTGCTAGCACTTTGATGTAGTGAAAGATGTCTGGATTTGGAGTTACATACTCAGCTTTGAAACTTACTACCTCAGTGACCTTGGGAAGTCGCTATGCCCTTTTCAGGACTCAATTTCTTAATCTTTGAAAGGAAGATGTTGGATCAAACTATTCTTGTGATCATTTGCACTTAGCACAGTGCATCAGACTTATTTGCTGCTTTTGTACTGTTTTTAGATAGTAAACTCTTTACAGGTAGGCACCCTGCCATTTTCATCCTTGTTTATCATCCTTTCACGCATTAGATGCTTATTACATGTTGAGGTGAGTTGAATATAGGAGAGGCAAGGTGGTATTGTGGCAAGAATACTAGCCTCAGTGTAAGATCAGTGTTGAATTTTGCCTCACTGCTTCTTACCTGTGTGACCTTGGAGAAGTCACTTCATGTGTGTGGTCCTCAATTTTTCCAGCTGTGAAATGTAGAGCTTAGACTAGTTCATCTCAAAAGCCCATTGCAGCTTTATAGCCTATAAACCAATGAATTAATGGATTATAAATGAATTTCATTGCAGTGCCTTTCAAAGCATGGTGCTGTCTTTAATGGGTTTTCTTTTTCCTCTATGTGTTTACAGTCTGGCACAGTGAAGCTGTCAAAACCAGTGGCTCTGTGGACCCAGCAGGATGTCTGCAAATGGCTGAAGAAACATTGTCCAAATCAGTATCAGATCTACAGTGAGTCATTCAAACAGCATGACATAACTGGTAAAGTATGCAGTATCCAAAATATTTTATACTCTTTCGCTTGCTGGATGCCTTCTCTCCCTACCTTTTCTTGAAGTAATGCTTGAAGTAACCCCTCCGTGATGAGCTTACTTTAGCGAGATTCTAAATGTTATATGTAGGTGAGCCAAGGCCACACCATAAGCCACTTTGCTCTGATTTTAGCCAACCATTAGTATTTGTCAGTTTCCAAGGCAAGGGATTTGAGAAATCCAGGAAGAAACGAGTATGCCAAGACTGGGGGAAAGGGAAGAGAGATTTGGGATGCACAGTTTGAGGGAGTTGGGGACTTCTCCAGCCTGTTATTGGTATGCTTGCTGCTTGAGGACAATGCCTTGAATGCTTCTACCCCTAAATAAAACTACATAAAACTAACCGAGCACCATATAGATGTTAGTGAGATGAAAATGATATTCTGCAGGATCCTTTAGAGGCATGAATCATGGTTCTACGTAGCCATCCATTTGAAAATTATCATATGGAGGTAAACAGTTTTTCTTAAAAAATCCCCCATTTTATCTTAATTTTCTTTCCTACTTAACAACTACCAATAAATCCTAAATAAAGCCTTTGCTATCTCATCCCCACCCTCATGTTAGCACTTTCCCCCTGCAATTACTTTCCACCTACTTTGTATTTGCTTTGTGTTATGTGACTTTCCTGCAGTGCAATGATACCTCTTTGAGGTAGGTTCTGTTTTGGTTTTGTGTTTTTGTTCCTGGTGAAACAGCTAAGGGACACACAATAGACAGAGCATTGGATCTGGATTAAGAAAAGCCCTAAGTTCAAATCTGACTTCAGACACTAGCTATGTGACCCTGGGCAAGCTTGCCTCAGTTTCCTCATCCATTACATGGGGATAATATTAGCACCCACCTCCCAGGGTTGTATGAGGATAAAATAATACATATAAAGCACTTTGCAAACCTTAAAGTGCTGTATAAATGCTATTATTGTTCTTATTATTATTACTAGTGTTCACATAAAGAAATCTTTAAGAAATATTTATTGAATTGAATTGGGCACCTTGAAGCAGATTTATTGTTAATATGGCACATTTCTTACCAGTGTGCCAAGCAGTTATTGGAATCCCTAGGCTAGTGGATATTGTCTATCGAATCTGTTATTATGGAATTATTATGTTAAAACATTTTCTAAGCGTGATCCTTAATAAAAGTAAGCCACCCTACTTAGTAGACCTATGAATAGAATGGGGAGAAAGCCAGTAGCAACTGAAGAGCAGAGTGTTTGGAATTACCTGGGAACATCAAAGTAACTTGAACTTTGTTCCGGGTCATGCCTTCTCTGGAAAAGTTACACCTCTGAGTAGACCACTTCTGAAGTATTGTATTTAGTTCTGGATGCCTCCGAACAGGAACAGTGATGAGCTGGAGAATGTCCAGAGGAGGACCACCATAATGGTTCTTGTGTTCATCTCAGAGGAGTCAGTTGAAGGAACTGGGAAGATTGGGGCCTGCAGAAGAGAAGATTTGGTGAGGTATAGGATAGAATGGTAGAGTTGGGGTTTTTTTTCTCCAAATATTTGAAGGATTGTCATGTGAAATGAATTAGTGAAATTTTATTTGGTCCTAGAGGGAAGAATCAAAAGTAATTTGCAGAAAGCAAATTTAGGTTTGATATCATGAAAACTTCATCACAGAGCTATTCAGAAATGGAATGGGTAGGGCAACTAGGTGGTGCAATAGATAGAGCTCTGACCTTGGAGTCAAGAGGACCTGAGCTCAAATACTTGACACTTATCAGCTGTGTGACCCTGGGACAAGTCACTTAACCACAGTTGCCTCACCCAAAAAAAAAAAAAAAGAGGAATGGGCAGCCTCGGGAGGTGGTGAGTTCCCTGTTGTTGGGTGTCTTCCGGCACAGGTTGGATGACCACCTGGGTATATTATCCTGGGGATTCTTTTCAGATATGGCAGAGATTCTAACTCTGAAATTTTGTGTGATTATGAAAGAAAATGATCCTTACATCATTTTAGGGAAGTAGATGCAAGAGCCAACTTTACCTCAAAGGGTAAGGCTAATTATTCAGTTCTTACTGGTCAGAAGAGCCAGTATAAAGAGGATGAGTCACTGGAAAAACAAAAACCACTCCAGGGAGATCTCTAGGAGTGGGTGAGGGAGGAGGTATAATTTAAGGCAGGATACCTGTAACCCTAGAGGACAAAACCTAGAAATCTACATAGGAAAGGGCCTTTGCTATCCATGGAGTTAGGGAAACTAAGACATGGATTTTCCAGCTCTATAGCCAGAGAACTGAGGGTGAGGGAAACATATGCTTTCTTTTCAGGCTTAAAACTTTTTGAGAACTGATCACTTCTTTAATAAATTTCTCTATTTTCACATGGCTAATCTGGAAAACTAAGAAGGAGAGTTCCTATAGGAAGGGAGTACTAATGACAGTGCTGGTTGATGTCAGGGACTTTTTCTTCCTCTCCCCAGTTAGGGATGATACCTCTGGACTGGAAGGTTGCAACCATTTCTCTTAAAGCATAAAGTAAGAGACCAAACCATAGAGATTAAAAGAAGCATAGCATCTTATTTCAGGAAGGAACCCTTAGAGAGTGACGTGGTATGAAAAAAATAGAAATAGTTTTAGAGTCAGAAGACCTGAGTTTTCAGGACACCACTCTCTCCTGGTTCTCCTCTTACCTATATGACCTCTCCTCAGTCTCTTAACTGGGAGTGTCCCACAGGGCTCTATCCTGGATTCTTCTCTTCTCCCTCTATTTACTTCTCATTAGCTCCCATTGATTTAATTAACATGTCTATGCTGATGATTCTTGGATTTAACTATCCTGCCTTAACCTCTTCACTGACCTCTAGTCTCATACCCCCAACTGTCCACCAGACATCTCAAACTAAATGTCCAGTAGATACCTTAAACTCAATGTGTCCAAAACCAAATTCATTATCTTTCCCCCCAACACCTCCCCCCTTCCAAACTTCCTTATTTTTGTCTAGGGTACCGCCATCATCCCTGTCCCCCAGGCTTTCAACTTAAGTGTCCTCCTCAACTGTTTACTGTCGCTCACTTCCTCATATCCAATCTGTTGCCAAGACCAGATGATGTCACCTTGGTAACATCTCTTGAATATGCCCCCTTCTCTTCTCTGATACTGCAGCCAGGCCTTCATCCCCTCATGCCTGAACTACTGAAATAGCCTACTGGTTGGTCTTCCTGCCTTAAGTCTCTCTCCACTATGATTTGCTCTCCAATCAGCTACCAAAGTTATTTTCTTAAAGTTCTGGTCCAACCATGTCACCTCCCTACTCAATTAATCCAGAAGCTCTCTATCACTTCCAGAAGCAAATACAAAAAATCCTTGGTTTGATGGCATTCAAAGCCCTTCAACACCTAGCACTTTGCCAGTCTTTTTTTACAACTTACATGAGACATTCACATCTCTCTGCTCCAAGTATTTTCACTGGTTGCCTCCTATACCTGGAATGTTCTTCCTCTTCATCTCCACCTTCTGGCTTCTCTGGCTTCCTTCAAGTCCTTGTTAAAATCTCACCTTCTCCAATAAATTTTTCTCAATCACTCCTAATCCTTCCATCTGTTATTTCTTTTCTATTTTCCTATATGTAGCTTGTTTGTATGTTTGTTTGCTTATAAATAACCCATTAGATTGTGAGCTCCTCAATAGCAAGAACTGTCTTTTTCCTTCCTTTGTATCCCGAGTTTGGCACAATGCCCATATAGTATATAGTAGACACTTAATAAATGCTTATTGATTGATTGACTCACATAGGTTCTAAATAATACTCTGTTCAAAAGAAAAAAAATCAACTCACTACCTGTGTTGGAGGCGTTGTGGAAAGACAGGCACATTAACAGAGTGTTGGTGGAGTTTAGAATTGATTCATCCATTTTAGAAAATGATTTAGAATTATTCAAGCAAAAAAGACCTTTGGAGCCAGAGATATGACTGTTAAGTCTATACCCCCAAGTCTTATTCCTAGCATAAGACATGGAAGAAAGATGTCAGGAAAGAGATTCCCAGATCACCAGAATTATAGGCCCTCTACAATTTATAAACATCTACCTTGAGTGTGTTATTATAATACCCATGTGAGAGGAAGTATGGCATAATAAATAAAGAGCTGCCCTCTAACTAAGCAAGACTCAGTTATACTGAAGTCTTATCTCTAAATAGAAACTGGCTATGTGATTCTGGGCAAGTTATATAAACTCTCAGTGTCCCAGCCAACTTTCTCAGAGTATAAATTACAAAATAGTATCTGATCTATATTGGTAAAGGGAGTTTCCTAAATAAGTAAAATCACAGATTCAAACCAAAAAAAAAGAGGAGGGAAAATACTCCTTTTTTGTGTTGTCTCATAGGATTTTAAAGTTGGAAGAGCAAAGATATGTTCGAGTACAAGCCCATCATTTCATAGATGAGAAAACTGAGTCATAGGGAAATTAAGTGATTTGCCCATTTTCAGGTAATGAATGGCAGAGTTGGGAATCACAATAGGTGGTGTGTAGTAATAACCCTTAAAAATCTAATAAATGTTTATGTGCTGTTTCTTGAGATCAGAGTAAGAAAGCAAAGGAAACTAACCAAGTCATTATCTCCTCAAGGCTGAGTTAATGGTGGAGAACTTAATCCAAAGAGGAGACTGGTAGCAATTTAAAAAGAAATGACAAAAACTGGAACACACAAACATGAGGAGGGTACCAAAGAGCCAGATCTTGTGATCCTTGCTATGGAGGGAGAAGAATGAGGTCATCTGGGTTCCCTTTAGTTTCTTGACCTGTAAAATGAAGGTAATAAGATTTTTCAGTTGATCAGCAGGAACTAAATATTTACTATGAACTAAATACTGTGCGAAGTGCTAGGAATAAAAACAACAACAACAAAAATAAAACATATCCTTCTCTCAAGGAGATTGCATTCTGTTGGGGAGAGATAACATGTACATATATAATTACATAAAGAATGAATGCAAAATAA